TTAGGATGAGGATTGCTGGCAACAAAAATATTTAGGATTGAGGATTACTCTAATCCTAACACAAAAGATTATCATTCTTTTCCCTGCAATGCAAATGATTATTAATAAGTCTTGTATTCCTACATTTTTTTTTTCATCGTGTTCTTATTTATTATACTCTAACCAAAATAACCCCATGTGCGGTTCTCTTCTTTATTCCTTTTTTTTTTTAAGTGCTTCTTTTATCAAATTAGCATCTTCTTTTATCATTGCCTCCTCCTCTTTTGTATCGGCCTCTCTACGCACAGTGCAGAAAGCGTGTGTGGCTTGTACCCATGTGAGTCTTCCTTCGGGAATGATGATTTATATAATCATTTTCCTTCTGCCTTTTACTTCTTTAATAAAAAGAAAAATGACATTAAGGTCCCACACAAGCAAATATACAACAAAAAAGTCCCTTGAAATATGATAATTCTTCTGAAGTCCCAAAGAGACTTGGCTGCCATTTTCAGATAGTTAAAATGACTTCCTACCCTAGCATATCAGAGACAAAAGGCGCTGAGGTGAGTTTCCCGCATAGTGTGGCTCTGTTACGGCTGGGAGAGAGGACATAGAGAAAGAAGGAATGAGCCATTGATAATGAAGTATCTTCCCCATTACCATTAGTGAAGTCCAAAGAAGTTCCATTTGAATCTTCACAAATCTTCAGGTCTGAAAATTTCTTTCCTCTCCTCTCTTGGAATATTTTTCTTGACAGATTGATTATGTTTGGGAATGAGAAATCAAAAAATCGTTTTTGCCTTTGGTACTGTAAAGTTTTTGTTTTTGGTCTAAGATGAACAAGTAAATCAATGGCAAAACTGTGTTTTTGGTTGGTGTGTGTTGGTGATTTAAGTTGGGTGTGTAGGATGACCATGGGTGCTTTGTTTTTGAGTTGCTTGTGGGTGGTTTAACTCTGTTCTGACGTTAGTTTAGGAGCAAAGGAAGAAAAAGATGAAGGTTAGTCTAGGTAGAAACCCTTAGCACGAAATGGGATATTGTGTTGTTAATCAGGTCGCGATAATTGTCAATATGTGTCGTGACAATTGTCAACGTAGCTCCTTGACTTGTCAATGACAGAGGCATGATTCTTTATGCAAGTTTAGATTACTGATGGCGAGTACGTCTGGAAAGCATCTATTTTGTTTTGTTCACATAAGGAAAAAGTTTATAAATGATAGAGAGGATGATATGAGATATGTGGGAGGTAGTGTAAGAACAACAAATTATATCATCAATTGAAGAAAATTATATCATCAATTGCTGGAAAAGAAAGTAACTCATTTCTTTTGAAATTTTCAGTTGTGTATAGCTCAACAGCACTCAGCGTAGAAATTAACAACCTAAGTTATTCAAAATAACAATTAATATAACAGGAGTTAATGACAAGTGATATAACAACTTCATAACAAATGAATGTGTGGATACTAACAATTGATATTTAAAATTTTTATAACTGAAGGTGTCATTTATTTATAATGTTAAGTAATATTTGCATTAAAATATAATTATTAAGAAGAAGGTTTTACTCAAAATTATGTTCAATTGATAAGGGACAGTACCTTCATTAACAAGTCACAGTGCTCTATTGGCAAGTCACAGTGCCACCATTGATAAATCATAGTGTCACCATTGACAAGTTATATTGCTACCATTGATAAGTCATAGTGCCACCATTGACAAGTCAATGTGCTACTATTAACAAGTGATAATTCACCAAGGCGTCTGACCATATCCGTTGCGGCTCCCCCATCTATCCCAAGGAGCTGTCATTCTGTGTAAGGCGCCGCGGCTCCTGATCATATCCGCCGCAGCACCCAACCCTTTTAAGAAGTTATTCGACGAACAACAAGTCATAGTGTTACTATTGACAAGTCAATGTGCCACCATTGACAAGTCATAGTGCGACCATTGACAAGTCATAGTGTCACTATTGACACTTCATTAATAATGATTATATATGACAATGTAACCAAAATATAATATGATAAAGTGAGTGAAAATATCATATGAAACTAAAACAGGTTAAGTAACTTGAATTCATATTGTTGACAACTTATATCAGCAAATTAATTGACAAGTCACAGTACTCCATTGACAAGTCATAATAGGTCTAATGACAATATAGGGTGCAGGTAATGACAACTGAAATGATAGCAGAATCTAACATGCCAATTCATAGCCAACTTTTATTTACACCTTCATATATATAAAACTACACCTATTTCACAACTCATCCCAAAAAAAAAAAACATAGGGGTTGCATATAATTACGAAACTAACTATTAGTGTGTATCCATTTACAAAAAATTCCCTTCACATTCATTTACAAAATATTCCCTTCACATCCGTATAATGTTTTTTGGAAGGCAGTGGCATTTAGAAATATTTGTCTTTCTCCAATAATCAAATCCTTCCATTTTGTGGAATTCACTTGTGATGTAGGTGTTGGGATTATTTCAACAGCACAAAGAATTGATGATGGCTTTTCAATCTCATCAAATGTAGGTAGAGACATAGACAATCCATTGATACCTCCACATGATTGATCAATTCTACAGGAAATGACAAGTCAGGATGCATACATTAACAAGTTGGTAACAAGACAATAACAACTGATATTGATAATAACAGTTTTGTTAAACTAAACTTACACATCTTGCTCATCCATTACATTATCCCTTGTTGCTTTTATATGGTCCTTATTTCCATTCTCTTTTACATACACATGACCACTTTCTTCATTGAATTTTGTCAAATTTTCTACCTCATCATCATCTACCAACTCCACAAATATTTTTTTATCAAACACAACTGAGAATTTCAAGAGAAATGAGTTACTTTCTTTTCTAACAATTGATGATATAATTTCCTTCAATTCTTCATAACTTGTTCCCTCCTTTATAATTGTTGTTCTTACACTACCTCCCACATATATCATCTTCTCCATCATTTATAAACTTTCCTTTTATATGAACAAAGCACAATAGATGCTTTCCAGGCATACTCACCATCAGTAATTTAAACCTGCATTAAGAATCACGCAACTGTCATTGACAAGTCAAGGAGCTATGTTGACAACTATCATGGCACACATTGAAAACTATCGCGACCTGATTGACAATACAATATCCCATTTCGTTCTAAGGGTTTCTACCCAGACTAATCTTTATCTTTTCCTTCCTTTGCCCCTAAACTAATGTCAGAACAGAACAAAACCACCTACAAGTAACCCAAAAACAGAGCACCCATGGTCATCCTACACACCCAACTTAAATCACTAACACACACCAACCAAAAACATAGTTTTTCCATTGATTCACTTGTTCCTCTTAGACCAAAAACAAAAGCTTTACGGTACCAAAGGCAAAAATGATTTTCTGATTTCTCATTCCCAAACACAATCAATCTGTCAAGAAAAATATTCTAGGAGAGGAGAGGAAAGAAATTTTCAGACCTGAAGATTTGTAAAGATTCAAATGGAACCTCTTTGGACTTCACTAATGGTAATGGGAAAGATACTTCATTATCAATGGCTCCTTCCTTCTTTCTCCATGTCCTCTCTCCCAGCCGTAACAGACCCACACTATGCGGGAAACTCACCTCAGCGCCTTCTGTCTCTGATATGCTAGGGCAATGAAGTCATTTTAACTTTCTGAAAATGGCAGCCAAGTTCCTTTGGGACTTCAGAAGAATTATCACATTTCAGGGGACTTTTTTGCTGTATATTTGCTTGTGTGGGACCTTAATGTCATTTTCCCTTAATAAAAATGAAAGCATGTCCCAAAAAAATTAAGTTAAAAAATCTCATGCAAATTCTTAAAATATTTGAAAGTATAAGGGAGCATAACCACTTCTTTGTGATAAAAAGATTCATTTATAATGTTTGTTTATAAAACTTTTTTATAAATTATAGATGCATAATTTTTTGAATCATATTTGAAAATAGTCACCAAAAGAGTAATATAATGGTAGACAAGAATTGCATATCTATATTTTTCTTATTAAGATCTCTACATTAAAAATATTGTAAGTCATTAATTTGTACTGCGAGTCTGCGAAGTGTTTTTTCCATATAAAAGTTGACTAGGAATGTTTACTGTCCCCCCCCCCCCCCCGGGAATAGAGAAGAGATGTATTAATAACAGAAGTATTTACAAACGTTTTGCGTAGAATGAAATAAAAGCATAAAAGACACAAAAAGAAACAAGCATCAAAAGGTACTATTCATTGTTGTTTCTGAAGTCCTGCACGTGTGGTTAGAATTATAAATAGTTGATTAGAAACATTTACTTTGATTCTAAATATAAAATCCCAATTTATCTTATACTAAATTTATTACATTTTTCTCGAAGTTAAGAGAATATTTTCATATTGAATAGTCGTCATTGCAAATGATTAAGGAGGGTATCTTGAAAAACCAACTATTTATAAATAGCTTTAGTAATCTTTGCAACTTTTAAAGTCAATTTTCTAATTTAGTGTTCCAAAAATAAAAATCATACTTAGTCTGTATGACCATGAGATGTTTGTGAAATTTCACATAATCTTAGACCTCTAACCTTGAAAGATTCCCCAAATATTATCCTTTCCAATCAAAACCTGTAAAGAAATCCTTTTTAAAAAAAAAAAACCTTCAAAATAGAAAAATTACAAATAAAGAATCATGACAACTTTAGTATGGATTTTGACAATAATAATATAGATTTTGATAACAATTTTTATAAATCAGTCCCTGCATGTAATTTTTTTTATTTTGGTGGTCTTTTTTAGCCATTTTCCTTTTAAAATATCATGATTGGAATTTTTTTTCCAAAAAAAAAAAAAATCCGTCAAACATAGACAAAACTTCCCCCTCAAGATTCTATAGAAAAAACACAATCCTAAAATAAAGCTCAAAAGGGACAATACGATATAATGCTTAATGCGGAGTGCTGATTTCTTCAGAATAATAACAGAGACGTCCATAAACACACAGCATCAGAGGTAAAAGGTCACCCTTATAAACAATATTCTGTATATTTCCAATTAGCTATAACTTCTGTTCCCAGTTTCGAAGTCAAAATAGCATACTGCAACTTACACATTACATTCTACACGCTCATGGTAATGCAGAGGAAAACCCAGCATAACCTGTCCAAGATCCACTAGAATTACAAGCTTCCAGCATATATACCCATAACGTAAGAGAGAAGAGAGATACGTATAAAACGGAGAGAAAGTGGGCTCCACAGCGAACTCTCATGGTGTGTCGCACTCAACCTCACTTCAGAAACACGTTAACACATTAACCTCAGAATCCAAGTTCAATTTGTCCCTTGCACACCAAGAAGAGCAGTGATAACAGGTGAGAGAAACAGAAGGATATAGACACGAGAGGAATCTCAGAAGTGGCAGCTAATAAAGCGTTAGGGCATGCCTGAATATATAGCTTTACTCTGAAAGACCGTCTTCCTCCGTTAACTGGAGCTTATTTTAAGGATCTTGTCAATGGCTTATAGAAACACGTTTATTTCAACCAGAATTCATGTCTGCCTTCTCATGCGGAAGATTAATATATGATCTTAGATTGTTGCCTCGGCTTGTTCTTCTTTGTCTGCGAGTTGGCTTCTGAGGAATTCTAGCACCGAAAGTCGCTATAGAAGAAAAAAGAGTAAAGTAACTTGTTTCAGGATCAAACATTGGAGTTCCATGAGAGTCATGAAGAACATGTAAATCTTCTAGCAATCTGGATTTCTACATTCATAAATATGTATGAATATAATGCATTCAAAAAGCAAGTGATAGAGATTAAAAGAAAATGATAAGTAGCGTAATGACGTTGAGTCATTTTGTTTCGGTGACAGTCTCTCTGAATGTATAGACATAAATTACATTTGGTGGAGTGAGGATGGACAACAGTAAAACTTGTATGTTATATCGGCACATGGAAAACATTAATGAAGTATTTATCTCTTTTGTTACATTATAAATATGACATTTTTGGTATGAAACAATAAAATAACAAGACAAATTGGATATAAACTTACACGTTGTTCAAGTCCACTGGCTTCAGATTTCAGTGTCAACGACTCTAACAAGTCGATAGCTTCTTGAAATCCATCAGTTGCCAAACTTTCGTTTCCCAGATTCCTGTCCGCATCAGCAACTTTTGCAAGAGAAACAGCAACATCTAGAACCTGAATGACATGTCAAATAATAACGTGTTAACATCAATATTAACCACTTTATTTGCAGAAACATGTATATTCTGTAGCAGCAATTACGTCTATTAAATTGAAGGGCCACTTGAAAAAAAAAAAATTGCGCTGAGTTTTACATTGTTTAGTGGTTTTAAATGGGTTTAAAAAAAAAAAGGAGACAAAACTTCTAAATACTCAAACAAAGAAATGATGGAAATGTTATGAACCATCAGCAATAATTCCTGTCATCAAAACATCTTTAGAATATGGACAAAGAGGAAAAGAATATTTTCATAAGTAATCTGAGATTTTTTAAAATTCTCTATTTCTCTTCTCAGTTGAGTGTAGCTTGACGGTCAACGTTCAACCGTGCCAATATACATAATATATCACAGGGGAATCCATCTTTTGAAACTTGCATCACATTTCCTCAGGTCTATTATGTCTGGACGTTGTCATTCCCTTTGAAACCCCCTGTTGACACAGCCATCCCCTTTTCTTAACTAGCTTATTTCTACTCAAAGGAAGCGTCCCCCCCCCCCCCCCAAAAAACAAGAAAAAGAAAATTCTTTTCCTTTAATTTTTTTTGCCCCCCCTTATCCGTGTCTTTTTATTTCCACTAGTGAGTTTCACAATTATTAGTTAACAAAACTTTGCTCATAAACTTTTAGTCCTCTATATTTTCTTACGCAAGAACAAATGTAGAGCTACTCAAGTAATATATTGTTCGTATGATTATTTTAAAAGGGATCGCACATGCATCTTTCGACTATACGTAGTATAGTTAGCAAAAACTTGCGAGAAGACTCCTTCGACTATGTGCATTTGCCCTTCCATATGTTTCTAAAAGCCTAATTCAAACCAGTAGATAACTACGTACAAGAAAAAGGGTTACAGACTGAATTTTTCACTATTTCTACAACAATGGCTTATCAGACACAACACGCAAATAAATGCCAATGCCAAATAAGTGTCATGCATCTGTTCATAAGCCTTAGCGCCCCCCGCCCCAAAAAAAAAAATAAAAAACGAAGAACAAAATCCATTCATAACCATGAAATGAACATCTAATGTAAATTCAATTTTTCTTGTCAGTAAACGCCTATATGGAACACAAGTTGAGATTGGAACTGGTATTTCTGAAAACCAATTTGATTTCATGCCAGGAAGGTCAACAACAGAAGCAACATATTTACTAAGAGGGTTAATGGAAAAATACATGAGCTAAAGAAGAGACTTGTAGATGGTTTTCACTGATCTTAAAAGCTTGTGATCGTGTGTCGAGAGACATTCTTCGGAGAGCCTTGGAAAAGAAAGATGGGCGTGTCGCTTCTATCAAAGTGATATAGGACCCTCAAACACTAGGCAATGAGGCATTTGGACTTCCTTATAAGGATTACCCTACATCAGGGATCATCTTTGATCCCCTTATTTGTTTAACTTAGTCCTTAACGTTCTAACTGAACATATCAAATAGAAAACCCTAAGTGCATACTTTTTCCTGATGATATAGTTCTGTTAGTTGAGTCAGGAGAAGAGATTAACTCTAAATTTGAGACATGGAGAAGAACCTTAGAGTCGAAGAGTTTCCTTCTGACTAGAAGTAAGACAGAATATATGTATTGTAATTTTGATAAGAGACAAGCTAGGAAGGATATGGAGGTTAAATTGGGAAATCAACTCGCCTCACAAGTAGAAAAGTTTAGATATTTGGAATCAAATATACAAAAAGATAGCCAAAATTAATAGAGATGTTAATCATAGAATTCAAACTAAGTGGTTTGAATAGAGATAGCTGATGGGAGTTACTTGTGATCAGAAATTACCTAATAGGGTTAAAGTAAAGTTTTACTGCACTACTATAAGACTAGTTCGTCATGCTTCATGGGACTTAGACAACATGACTATTACCTTTTGGTACAACCCACTTGTCAAGGAAATTGTCAATTGTCAATTGGTGAATACATTAGACAACCAATTAGAAGAGGGGAACCAGCTCTTCCTACTGCAAGCTATTGAAGGAGGAGGGGATCAAGTCTTGGGAGTATTGCATGATGAGAAGAATGATGCCGAGAATGGTATGAGACTATTATTAAATGAGTTTGGGGATGTGTTTGCTAAACCTAAATCACTTCCACCATTAAGAGACAATCATAATTATCCCATATTTTACAAGAAGGGTTTGACCTGATTAATCTAAGGCCCTATCGATACCCAGCTATCCAGAAAGATGAAATCAAAAGGCAAGTAAATGAGCTTCTAAAGAATGGAGTTATTCAAGAAAGTGCCTCTCCATTTGCCTCTCTAATAGTCCTAGTAAAGAAGAAGGACGACTCATGGAGAATGTGCATTAATTTTTGTGAACTCAATAGGAAACTATCAAGAATAAATACCCCATTCCTTTAGTGGAAGAGCTGTTGGATGAGCTCAAGGAGGCTAGATAGTTCACAAAATTAGATTTTGAGAGCAGGGTATCACCAAATTCGAATGGAGCCTAGTGACACTTCCAAGACAACTTTTAGGGCTCATTCCAGTCACTATGAGTGGCTAATGATGCCCTTTGGGCTCACTAACACCCCTGCAACTTTTCATGGAGCCATGAACAACATTTTCAGAAATTTTTCTAAGGAAAGTTGTGCTGGTCTTTTTTGATGACATTTTGGTTTACAGTTCTAGCATGCATCTTCACCTTCAACACTTGCGGAAGGTGTTACAAATATTAAGGGAAAACCACTACTTTGTTAAGGAAAGCAAATGTACCTTTGCTGCAACTCAAGTGGAGTATTTGGGTCACATTATCAGAGGGGGTGTGGTCTGTACAGATCCTAAAAAGATCAAGGCAGTGCTGGACTGGCCTGAACCTAAGTCTGTAAAGGAATTATGATCCTCTTTGGGGTTGGCTGGGTATTATAGAAGGTTTGTTAGGGGTTATGGTGAGTTGGTGAGGCCCTTAACCAACTTATTAAGGAAGGACAGCTTTAAATGGACACCTGAAACAGCAACTACATTCAAGAAATCGAAGGAAACATTAGTGGCAGCTACTGTTCTTGCTCTTCCAGATTTTTGAAAGACTTTTGCAGTGGAAACAGATGCATGTGGTATAGGGATCAGTGCTGTCTTGATGCAAGGTGGGCAGCCAGTTGCCTGTTTCAGCAAAGCTTTGGCCACTAGACACCAAAGTCTCTCAATATATGAGAAGGAACTACTAGGGCCAGTGCAGGCAATAGAGCATTGGCATCAATACCTGGAAGGAAGGCCTTTTGTTATTTTCTCATACTAGCAGAGCTTAAAATACTTATTGGATTAGAAGTTAAAAACCTCTTTTCAAATGTATTGGGTGTCTAAGTTGATGGGTTACAACTATGAGATCCACTATAAGAAGGGAAACAACAATAATGTTGTTGATGCTCTCTCTCGAATGCCTAAGATGGAAACTTTCCAAAGTACATTATCTACTTGTTCTGATCAACTTTTACAAGAAATTAAGGCAAGCGGGGAAGCAGATCCTACTTCAAAGGATATTCTTACTACCCTCCAACAGCAAGGTGCAATGGGAAAATTCTTTGATGAGAATAAATTATTGAGGAAAGATGGCGGGTTGGTGGTGGGAAATAATGTGGCTGTTAAGAATAAAATCTTAGAATGGCTTCACTCAACACCTCAAGGGGGGATATTCTGGAATTCATGCAACTTATCAAAGGGTTGAGACACTGTTGTGGTGGAAGAATTTGCTTGAAGAAGTGAAAGAATTCATTAAGTATTGTGACACTTGTGCAAGGGATAAATATGATACAGTAGCCTATCCAGGGTTATTGCAGCCTCTTCCAGTTCCTAACAAGACTTGGGAGAGTATAAGCATAGATTTTATTGAGGGTTGCCAAGGTCTAATGGTAAAGACACTACTTGGGTGGCGTAGATCGATTGAGCAAGTATGCTCATTTTATCTCATTATCTCACCCATTTTCAGCTTCAAGTTTGGCACAACACTTTTTAAATCATGTGTATAGGTTGCATGGTGCTCCTGTTGAAGTTATTAGTGACCGTGAACCTCTGTTTGTTAGTAACTTCATGCAGGAGTTTTTAAAAATTATGGGGGGTGGATCAAAAGCTTACTTCTTCATACCATCCACAATCTGATGGCCAATCAAAGGCATTAAATAGGTGCTTGGAAACCTGTTTGAGATGTATGTGTTGGGATAAGCCAAAGGAATGGAGCAAGTGGTTACCTTTGGCTGAATGGTGGTACAATACCACTTATCATACTTCTACTAAAGGAACTCCCTTCGAAGTTCTCTATGGAGAAAAACCTCCTTTATATGTGCCTTATTTACCTAGAAGTGCAGCTGTGAAAGCTTTAAACAAGTCTTTTACAGCAAGGGAGGGGGCTTTATCAATTGCTAAACATCATTTGCATCATGCTGTGAACCTTATAAAGCTTTGGCTGATGCTCACCGAACAGATAGGGAGTTTCAAGTGGGGCAGCGGGTTTTCTTAAAGCTACATTCACATCCACATGTATTGCTACTTCCAACCACTCATCCTCTTTCTTCCCTCAAAACCCTAACCAGTTCCCTCTCATTCACCCTTCCGATTCTTCGTGGCACTTATCTTAAATTTATAGCTTCTTTCTTTCCTCTTCTTTTTTCTTATTCTTTTTATCATTAAATTTCACTTTCACGACCACAACCCACGGTGATAAATCATGTCCTTAGATGCACTTGAGCTAGAAGTTTTTGGCAGATTATTTACGGGGAAAAAATGGAAAATTCTACATATATTTTTAACATTCAAAACTTGTTATAGAATCAAATAAAATATAAGAGACAAATTAAAAAGATAAAAGACAGATTTCCCTAGCCTCTAGGAGCTCACAAAAATTAGCCCCAAGATACTTTGGTCCTTATAGAGTGCTGCAAAGAATTGGTCCTGTGGTGTATAAGTTGGAATTACCTCCAGATTCCAGGATACACTCTACTTTTCACATCTCCCTACTTGTGTCCTGATCCTTATATGAAGCAGCGTCATCCTCCACTAGATTGGCAAGAACTACCTCCTACTCGTGAGCCAGAGAGAGTATTGAACAAGAGAATCGGTAGGAAGAAGGGGAGAATCGTCATAGAAGTATTGGCGCAGTGGAAAAATCTCCCTAAAGAAGAAGCAAGTTGGATTCTGCTATATCAATTACAGCAACAGTTACCCTCTTTTCAGATTCAAGACCCATGAGGGCAAGGTAATGATCCTAATTGTGTATATGGATGATATAGTCATAACTGGCAATAATGAATTTTCTATCTCTCAACTCAAGAAAGCCCTAGTTAGGGAATTCCAAGTGAAGGACCTAGCACAGACGAAGTACTTTCTCGAAATGGAGGTTGCTAGATCCAAAAAGGGTATAAGTGTATCCCAACAGAAATACACACTTGATTTACTCCACGAAATAGGAATACTTGGAGCTAAACCAAATGAGACACCTATGAAAGAATCATGCAATCTAGAAGTGAAACCAAAAGAGGTACCAGTTGACTCAGAAAGGTACAAAAGACTTGTGGGTAAACCGATCTACTTGACCCATACACGACCTGACGTTAGCTATGCAGTTGGGGTGGTAAACCAATTTATTCATCAACATCAGGAAGAACATATGGAAGCAGTATACAAACTTTTGACCTACCTCAAACTCAATCCGGGAAGAGGAATATTCTTTAAAAAGGGAAATACAAGAAACATAGAGCTCGACACTGATGTAGATCATGGGAGAGCTGTGGACAACAGGAGATCTGTCACAGGTTATTGCACTTATGTCTGGGGAAACCTAGTCACTTGGTGAAGCAAGAAACAAACAATAGTCTCAAAGAGCAGTGCTAAAGCTAAGCTAAGAGCTGTAACTTTGGGGTATGTGAAAGAATGTGGGTGATTAGACTCCTGAAAGAATTGAGAATTACCTATGAAGGTCCAGTGAAGCTCTAGTGTGACAACCAAGCAGTATTGAAATGACCAAGAATCCAGTGTATCATGACCGAACAAAGCATGTCGATGTTGATCGGCACTTCATCAAAGAAAAAGTCGAAGGTGGTACCATTAACTTGAGCTATGTGCGCTCAACTGATCAGACTGCTGACATCATGACCAAGCCTTTAGCCAGAGTCAAGTTTGAAGGGCTTCAAACCAAGCTGGGAATGGTAGACATGTACTCTCCAGCTTGAGGGGGAGTGTTAGAAAGCCCTTGATTCTCTCCATTAATTACCCATGATTTTTGCTAGAGAATAAATCCCTGTTTTTGTGGTGCAATATCTCTAATTTAGTATAATCCTTTCTAATTAATTCTGATTGATTGTAATAATTATAACCGGATTGTTTTCTGCCACCCAGACCCTATAAATTGTAACTCTTTCATATGAAATAAAATACACAGTGAATTATTCACACAAGATAGCAGAATTATTCACACAAAATAGCATTATATAATCATAAATATTGGATTAGGGGTGGTATTACTAATTCTATGAGCCACAAGGATTTATTAAATAAAGGCTTACTAAGTCCATAAGGCCTTAGGGGTAGTTTAGGTAATTAGCCTTAGGATTAGCTACTTAGCCTAACGAGGTTGTTGATTGATGATTGACAAATGACATTCAGGAAATTCTCTCTTCTCCTACTCTCTTTCCCCTATTCTCTAAGACTTCTATAGCATTGTATCAATTTGGTTCTGGTTTCAGACAATATCCAGTGGGCAATAACTTAATCTTGTGTCAAGTAGAAAGAAGCACAAGGAAGGAAAGGTACTTCACATGGTGGGACCCTCAGTACCAGTTTTTTCCAGTAAGGAAGCAGAGAAATAGTGATTCAGGCTCCACATGATCAGAAACAGCCTAATCCAAGTAAGGAAGCAGAGAAATAGTGATTCAGGCTCCACATGATCAGAAACAGCCTAATCCACGCCTGCAATGGATTAAAACTATATAGGCCGAATCCACAAATCCACAAATGCTAAGACAGTGATTCCATCAATATTCAAGAGAATTTTCTCCAGAATTTAACCCCTTTAGTTCAGATTTTGTATTCCCCCCCCCCCCCTTCTTACTTGATCCTTGAGAGCAAGGATCTTTTTGGGAGGGGGGTATTGTTATGTAATCATAATAAAAATTAAAAAGAGGTTAAAAAGAGGGTTGGTTAGCTAGATAAGTAGCTGTTAGGGGAAGTTAGTTAAGGGACCTAAGATTATGAATAGGATCCTAATTGTTGATGTATTCAGTCTTGCTCGTTAATGAGAAAACCCTGAAGTAATTCAGTCCAATTCTATCGTCTCCCTCTGACTCTCTCCTTTCTGAACCCCCTTTCCCTATTCCTCTCTGTTTCTCTCTTTGTTCCCTCTTCTTTCCCCTTCTATCTCATTCTTTCTGCAATTACTACAACATTCTACCATTCCCTCATTCTCTCTCATTCTCTCTCATTCCTAATTATAATAGGATAACAGTAAAACACAGCATATAACCATAGGAAAGTAACAAGTGAAATCCAGAAATCCTTCACAATTTCAAGGATAATTATCTTCTATAAAATATGATCCAAAATTCAAAGCAAGAACATTCATGCAATATTTGGGCAAGTCAATAGAACACAACCAAGAACGCACCAAAAGCAATTCAGACATTGTATTAATATTTGATAATTCAATTTCAATATAGACAAAGCAGTAACCAACCTGGGATGGCACATCTGAATGATGCTTGACTACATCGCGCCGAACATTCAAAGACTGAAAATAGTAGGATCTTGCCCCTTGTAGGCCTCCCTCATAATATTTAAGATCTCCAATTTTATTCAGCGAAACAGAAAGTGTATGTGTAATCTGTAGGGAGAAGAGTTTAAATATATAAATTTTAAAAATAATAAAAGATGGTCATGTGATACATAAATTTTAAAAATAATAATCGATGATCATGTGACATATAAACACGGTCTTAAACAATGTTCTAATGAAATAACCTCCAAGTCATCTTTTGGCAACTTTGAGAGAAATTCAACACTTTCTTCAAAATAAGCAACTGCAGAATTAGCATCCCCCATGGCTCGGCTGCACAACATAAAAAGTAAGCATGCATGTCACAATTGGCCTCTAATAAGCATTTGACAAAGTAAACACTATATGCAGAAAGTAGGTTTGCATTGCTCTTCTAATAATCTAGCGCTGTCCATGTTCCAGATGCCATTTCAAAACCACGTTAATAAAGCTTTTTATTTGGAAAAGCAAGCAAGTGGTAGGCAAAAGGGTCAGGAATTGCCATAGCTTTCAATGATATTACAAACACAACTTGATGAACTACAATTGAGCACAAAATCTCACCAGCCTCACCTACATATCAAAATCAATTTCACCACACTTTTCAAACAAAGATTTAGCTGCTCTTCTGGAATTCAACATGCAGTTCTATTTACTATACCCAGTCAATCACAGATATATGGGACGCTTTTAAAATATTATTATAGTAGTCCAATAGCAGCTTTTATTTATCATTTTATGCAAGTTTTATAATTGTTCTTCATTCTTTTCTTTCAGCAGAATCTCCGCTCATAATTATCTACCTTCTGCAGTGCACATAACATGTTTAAACTTGAAAGTGCTTGACTATATGCTAACCTATCAAAAGAAAATATAAAAATGTGACTTTTACAACCCACTCATTAATTTTGAACAGATTCTCCTCATTGCTTACCAAAAAAGAAATGTTAGCGCCAATATGGGCCTTGGCCCAAATTAACCTAATTAGGTTTAGGTTTCATTTACTTAAGAAAATAGAAGATAGACAGCAAGAGTTTAAATTCCTTGATTCTAGTTTTTATTTTATTTTTCATTGATTCTGTATCCTATGGGTGATTCGGTCAGTTAGGGCGCATGCTTATATATGTACCTCGCTGTTTTTCATATCGAATAAGAACAAACAGCATCGAATTGCACATGGTATCAGAGCTACCATGATCCGGTTTGGATTCGGACTGGATAATGACGATCAAGGTGGCATGAACTCCTCGGCCTTGAATACCTCTACAGTGTCGAGTGATCAGGGTTCAGGCCCCCAAGTGCCGAACGATGCTACCTCCTCGTCAATCACCATTCATCGACTAAATGGTCAGAATTATCTCCAATGGGCCGCGAGTGTCCGTCTGTTCATGACTGGAAAAGGGAAGTTGGTTTATCTCACCGGCACCGAGAAACGACCTCTGTCCTTTGACCCGAAGCTTGCAAAGTGGGAAATAGAGGATTCAATGATCCAGTCATGGCTTGTAAACTCAATGACCACAGACATAAGTGCAAGCTTCTCCTTGTTCAAGTCTACACAGGAAGTTTGGGAGGCTGCACGAGATATGTTTGCCTCCCTCAATAATCGTGCTGTGATGATGGAGATTGAAGCGGTCTTGGATAAACTAAAACGAGGCACTCTAGCCGTTACAGAATTCTGGACAAATCTGGTGATATTATGGCAACAACTGGATATGTATGACACGTATGAATGGGCTTGTTCTACTGATGCCCAGCTCTATGCCAAAATCAAGGAGGAGAAAAGGATCTACAAGTTCTTGCTGAGTTTGAATCCTGTTTTTGATGAGATCAGGGGATGCATTATGAGCTTTGAAAAGCTTCCTTCCCTACGTGAAGTATTCTTCATGGTGAAGCAAGAAGAGAGCAGGCAAAAACTTATTGCCTCTATATAACCACAATAGCTGGTGTCTGACTCTGGTGCTATGTACACTAAGGGTAGCAAGTCAAATGATGGAAAGGGGGGGAAAAATAATAGATGGTGTGATCACTGTCAAAAATCAAGACATACCAAAGAGGTATGCTGGAAGCTTCATGGGAAACCAGCAAACAGAGGCAAAGGGAAAAGTGACTCGCAGGCTAACACAGCTAAAAACGACTCTGATTATGATAATAAACTTAGTACTGAGGAAGTTGAATGTCTCCGAAGAATCCTAGAAAAATATGACTAAAGAACAACTAGTTGCCTCCGGTAATATAGCTTACACAGGTAATGTCATTCTTGCCCTAAAAACTAATATTCACCATAAGAATGTGGATAGTGGACTTTAGCGCCACAGACCATATGACCAGGAATCCAAAGCCGATTCAAAACCTAAAACCGTGCACATCCCCAATGTTTATAAAGGTAGTTGACGGAAAATTTTTAAAGGTTCATGGTATTGGTGAAGCATGTCTCTTTGAAAGCCTAATTCTCAAAACCGTCCTATATGCACCAGATTTAAAGTGTAGCTTGATATCTATGAGTAAAGCTACCATATTTCAACACTGTCATGTTGATTTTTTCGTTACTCAATGTTTGTTTCAGGACTTGGAGTCAGAGAAGATGATTGGCAAAGCTAGGATGCTAGAGGGATTGTACTGTGTGGATGCTCAACAACCGTGGACTCAACCAAGTGCTTCCAGTTTTGCTGCTGGAAAATCTCTTCCTTCTGTTTTTACTGATAAAGAAGTGTTATTATGGCATTATAGGTTAGGACATCCTAGCCCAAAGTATGTGTCCAGATTGTTACCGGATTCTTTGAATAAAAATTTTTCATCTCTATCCTGTGAAGTTTGCCAATTATCTAAGCATACTAAAGGCGTCTACACACCCCACTCTCATCAATTCACTCAACCTTTTTCTCTCATTCACAGTGACATTTGGGGTCCCACTCGAACTCCCTCTCTAATACATGCTAAATGGTTTGTCACATTCATTGATGATCACACACGCTTAACTTGGGTGTTTCTAATGAAAGATAAATCTGAGTTACCTGAAAAATTAATAAATTTTCACAAACTGATCTCAAATCAGTTCCATACCACTATTCAAATCCTTCAAAGTGATAATGGGAGAGAATATATGGGAACATATCTACAAACCTACCTCAAACAACATGGGATCGTTCATCAAACGAGCTGTGTAAATTCCCCACAACAAAATGGCATAGCCGAAAAAAAAAACCATCACCTTCTTGAGGTAACCAAATCCATAATGCTGACACACGGTGTTCCAAAATACTACTGGGGGGAAGCCATACTCACTGCTGCACGCTTAATAAACCGTCTTCCTTCCAAAACACTAAATTTTGATACACCTCTCCAAACCCTAGCTAAAACCTATCCAAATTCCTACCTTCACACTTAGATTCCACCGAAAATTTTTGGTGCATTGCTTATGTTCACAACGATAATAGAGGTAAACTAGACCCTAGAGCCTTCAAGTGTATTTTTCTTGGATGCTCATTCACCCAAAAGGGCTACAAGTGTTATTTTCCTCCCTTAAAGAAATATTTTGTGACCATGAATGTAACTTTTGATGAAAACCACCGTTATTATCCAAAAACACCCATTCAGGGGGAGAGTAGTGAGGAATGGGAGTTTCTTCAGCCCAAAAATACTATATCAACCACTCCTACTTCTACTACCCCTATTTTCACAACCTCACAATCGCAACCTCAACCAACACCAGAACCACCACCAGAACTCCCTGAAAACTCAAATTCTAATTTGGACAACAGGCAGAACAACACAGAAACAGGTGATACAGATGCACAGTGTGGTGAGTTGGAAATAAATAATGCAGAAACTGATGCAGTCTATGAGCAGCCCACTCAAGACAATAGAACCGAAGCAACTCAAGACTCCTCTAGCATCAAGCACCGCCAAAACTCAACTCCTACTTCAGGTTCAAACGACCTTGGGTGGCCTATTGCCTTGAGAAAAGGGGTAAAAACCTCTACTCGACATCCAATCAGTAATTTTGCGTCTTATGATCGACTATCTTCTTCCATGCATTGCCTTGTTACTAATCTGGCAGATGAAAAATTGCCTACTAGCTTTCAACAAGCAATCCTAGATCCCAAGTGGAAGGAAGCTATTGAAGAAGAATTGAGGGCTTTAAGACAAAATCAGACTTGGAAGATCACGCAACTGCCAAAGAATAAGAAGCTCGTAGGCTGTAAGTGGGTGTTTACAAAGAAATATAATCCAGATGGTTCTATTAACAAATACAGAGCCCGACATGTTGCTAAAGGGTACCCACAGACCTATGGCATTGGTTACGAGGAAATTTTTGCACCGGTAGTGCTTCAATTTGCTGAATATTTCTGACTCTCATATTATTCCATATGATTGGGTTACAATTTATAGAGTCCGGATAAGAGAAATCAATCCGGTTACAATCAATCAGTCATAAATTACAGATATTGCAATATCACAAGAAATCAGGAAATATAAATTCTAGCTAATATCATGGGTAATTAATAGAAAGAATCAAGGGAGAAAATCAGGGCTTTCTAACACTCCCCCTCAAGCTGGAGAGTAGATGTCAACCATTCCCAGCTTGCTTCGAAGCCCTTCAAACTTGACTCTGACTAAGGGTTTGATCATGAGGTCAGCAATCTGATTAGTTGAGCGCACATAGCTCAGGTTAATTGTGCCATCTTTAACCTTTTCTTTGATGAAGTGCCGATCAATGTCAACATGCTTTGTTCAGTCATGATACACAGGATTTTTGGTCATTTCAATGCTGGCTTGGTTGTCACACCAGAGGTTCATAGGTCCTTCATAGGGAATTCTCAATTCCTTCAGAAGTCTGATCACCCACATTCCTTCACATACCCCCAGGGCCACAGCTCTTAGCTCAGCTTCAGCACTACTCCTTGAGACTACTGTTCGTTTCTTGCTTCGCCAAGTGACCAGATTTCCCCAAACATAAGTGCAGTATCCTGTGACAGATCTTCTGTTATCCACAGCTCTCCCATGATCTACATCAGTGTAGACCTCTATGTTCCTTGTACTCCCCTTTTTAAAGAATATTCCTCTTCCAGGATTGAGTTTGAGGTAGGTCAAGATTCTGTATATTGCTTCCATATGTTCTTCCTGGGGTTGATGCATAAATTGGCTTACCACTCCAACTGCATAGCTAATGTTAGGCCTTGTATGAGTCAAGTAGATCAGTTTACCTACAAGTCTTCTGTACCTTTCTGAGTTAACTGGTACCCCGTCTGGTTTCACTTCTAGATTACATGACTCTTCCATAGGCGTCTCACTAG